GTCATAATAACACTGACGCCACCGTCCCAGAGAATGCAAGGTTTCCGGTAGAATAACTAGGCCAAGGCCATTTGTTTATTTATTGGGGTTCAAAACAGCCAAAATGCTAGTGAGACGAACTGAAGGCACTTCCCGTGATTACTGTGAGTTAACTTCTATATCAATCATTTCGGAACTAAGCTGTTACCGGGACGACGGCACAAGTCAAATCGATACCGCTCCCGGGATATTCCCAAGCTGTCAAATGTATTTATGGCACGGTCGTAATATCTTTATAGCGACTAAACTCAACCTACGCTTGTATTCATCCGCTTTGCCCTCTAGAGCCGTATTGATTGAAAGACAAAATTAACATGGAGGTCTTCGACTATCGTTAAAGTAGAATGATTATACGAACGAATTACGCCCGTTTACTCTGGAATTGCACTGTTAAGACTAGGAGCGAAGATTTCATGAGGATATAGCAAGCCAAAAAATGGCAGAGGTTCATTAATCGTGAGGACCACCCATTTAATTTATCTATCATGGCCGCCATAAATCTATCGTCGTCGCCTGAAAAAAGTCAGTTCAAACATGTCTCTATGTGTTTCACTAAGGTATGAATTTCGTTTTTTTAATCTATGGTATCCAGTTTTTAGCACCAACTAAGAGACCGGGTCGAGCGAACTTGACCCGTCGTCGCGAACTGTTGTAACGTGACAAGCTGAGGTCGGCCAGAGTGGGCATAATAGCAGACAGAATCTCCTCAAACGCTCCCGGATTCCCTTTCTATTGTTCCGAACCCAAATCAGCTGAAAGTGTAACTGGCCTTCGCGGGGTTGTAAATCACACAGGAACATTTCAAGGGTCCATTGCTGTCTAAAAAAGCACTCAGATATTGGCAAACTGCGCAGGCAACACTGTGTCTTAATATTATCGATTTTATCCTGTCCTTAATGATAAGCAGCAAAATGGGGATAAAGTTTTGAGTTAACCGTAGACACAACCGGATTTTAAAGGCGTGAAGCTAAAATACTCCTGTCACGGGGCTCTACAGTATACGGCTGGATGGAATGCTTTGTTTCGTGACGGCGCGGCGCGGCCCTGCGCTGCGCACAAAATATGTCTTGCTGTTGCCTGTAAAACTCTGCCAATCGGCAGAAATTCTACAGTGCGGACTACATATTCACTAGGTAAGATAGACGGCAGCAATAAAAATTTCCCAACGAATAAAGCGATTATTTTGGTTGAAAACGCTTAATTTTGTTTAAGAACTATACTTTGTGCTGAATCATGAAAAATTGGATCCGGGCGTCTAGCATTCACGGCTTCTTTTTTAACACCTATAAGAGTGCTTATTCCTCGTCAAAAAAGCAATAACAAAAACACTAAAAATAGGCTGATAAGAGAAGCATGAAGCTGGCTGGCCCTGGCTCGGTTTCGATATCCCAATATTCGTTCGTGTGTAATTATCACGTTTAGAGCTCCAAAGTCGTAGCAGACACGAAAATTTTCGCATTTTATTTTAAACTTTCGTTAGCTTTAAACAGGGAGAAGGCCAATAAAACGGATCAAAAGAGTGCATTTTAGAAATTGTGACCGAATGCCTACTCGCCCTTCAATCAGTTTTAGGAATTCCCTATGTACTTTTCGACCATAAGCTAGTAGGCAGATTTTGCCCAGTAGCTGAGATGCACATTCAACGAGTCAGTAGCATGGCTCGGAAACAGTGCACCGAGAAGGGAGGAGAACGAAAAGTTGAATTTTTTCATCAAATCATTTCGAAGACCTGAAAACCTGACGGGTACAACAATTTAAACTCCTTTAATCCTCAGTCAATAACATTAAGAGAGCAGGTACAGCAGTGAAACGTTTCGCCTAAGTCCAACCGAATACAAAATTGAAAATCCGGGGTAGAGAACAGTGTGAATTGGCCAGGTAATCCTTCTAGCTTTCCGGATGAAGCTATACCCTCTTTGGCTCAACTGACAGCCACGAAGCTGTGAAAACCTTAAATGCTCACAACTTGCTCTTCAGCATGACTGGTCGTAATAGCTGGGACTTCATTAAAATTTTCATAAATGCAAAAAAGGATGCATCCAGTATGCGAAAAATAAATTCTCAGATATTTTTATGGTCAATAAAAATAACGCGTGGGCGATAGGCAATGGATTTGAGTAATGGACTTCGCTGAACAAGACGAGATAACCTACGCGTATGAGACCGCGGTGCATGAGTAAAATCAATCCGCAGTGAATGGTACGAATGTACGAATGTAACGACAGGGCCCCTTGGGCCTTAAATATACAAATTATTATTATTATTATTAAAAGAGTTACCTTCTCTAGAAACTTGTCCAATGAAGAATCCATCAGCTCCATTACAATCCAAATCTCTCCCACGTATGACAACGCGCCATAAGACATGATTGCATAAGGGCATTTGCTGGTTCGCATACTAATGTTGTAGTCATTAAGAATGCGTGACCGATCCGGAGTCTCACTGTGGAAAGGCAACCTCTTGACGGCAAACACGCAGCCGCTGGGGTCGTGAACCATTTTCTGCACGTAAGCAAACTGTCCTTGACCTTGGCAAGAAGAAGGCAAGAATAAAGACTTGTTGAGTTATCATATCGAGAAAAGGAGATTTCAAATGAATTTCAAACACGTGATATCAAAGCTTGAGATTCAAATATCTGTGTACAATAGAATAACGGAGCTCCGATAGTAATTTTGTAGCAATGCATAGAGCTTCGTGTGCACTAGTTTGACTACGTCGGGTTGGCAGAAGCAAACTATCCATACCAAAATAATTACCAGTTGATTGCTATAAACAATAATTTAATTTACCAATGCGACCCGTAGTAAATAGAAACATTGCAAAAATTAAGGCGTTGGAGCAACAAAAAAAAGCAATAAAACAGAAAATCGGCATGGACGTTAGTTCTGGGAAACCAACATGGAAGGCGTTTTGACAAGCCTGAGAAATTAAGTAAGTGGATTGGCATTATGTCTTCAGCAGTCAGGATATTCCGGCAAAAGGAATTGAAAGTGACAATGCAAACAGTATAAAAAGTACAAGATACCGTTCGCTGTCCAAAATAACCGCTTACGAGATAACCATGTGGCAGAAAAAGTTAATTGAACTGCAGGTGTGTCACGTTTAGGGCGCACCACAATGACCATAAAACCTATCTCTGAGCGTTTACCCAGCTGCTTTGGTTGAGGAAACGAGTTCGACGTACAGGTTTTTCGCAGCGCACCGTAAAGGGATTATCTGAAGTAGTCGTCGCACTAACTTGAAGATTATCTGTTAAGAATTTTGGTCCCTTGCGAAAATCAAGGCCGCCCGCCAAGGCATGGAATACCATAGAGTTTGGTCATATCCGCTTGATAAGTCTTAAGTCTACAGTTGCTTGTCCTTAATATCTAATGGCCTTGTGTGCATTGGTTGCTTGAAGCACATGTTTTCAAAGAGTTGTTGCGTAGATTACACCGTTTTTATTGGTTAATGTTCGTGGATTTTATCGGTGCTGTATGCTTACGGATTCTGCCCCTGCCTCTTTTTCGTCCTCATTCTGGTTCGTTAGCTTAAGTGCTAATAAGCAGACTACAACGATTTCAGGTCCTGCGGTGTTTGAGTCTAGTACACGCCCCGGCCCTGGCTTAACAGACGATCTCCCTTCTATGTAGCTTTTGTTCGCCACTCAGCTCCAGCACACATTCCAGAAAATATACAGTAAAATATGTAAGAGTCATTGGTTTATAATTAATTCTGGGTTGCTACTTCAGGCACCTTGTTAAGAGGGCCTAAAACGTGCAGGTAGACGTCAAAAGTGGCAATTGTGAATGCGAAACAAGGAAAAACTTGGAAAAATTAATATAAATTCGAATGCTGATCGGAAAGTTATCTTCAAAGTTATCGGCATATTGCACATACAACTTGCGTCGGCAAGAAGGCGGCGGGTACCTACAGTTGCCTTTATCCTAGCTGCTTCTGTGTGCGTTTCTTGCTGCTGACGAGTGAGCAAGCATAACGATTAGCCGGGGTCACACGCTCACGGCAAATGCGCTGCTGTTCGTGCCGCTTGCCATCCCTCTTCCTCCTTGGGGCCTTTTATAGACCTACTGGACGCTCGGATGTCTAGGTTGACGAGAGTGCAGGCATATAGACTAGTAGGCGTTATACGTTCACGTCAGAGGCCGCGCTCGGGAAGCTTGAGAATGGTCGAATTTTTGTTGCCACAGCTGTCTTACGGGTGGAATAAAGGACAAATGCCCAGCAATAGGTAGGACATATCTGGGTTTACGAACTGCAGGACTCGCCTGTGAGGGTGAGAGTGACTGTGTGGCTGTCTTGGTAGACAAGGACAGGCTGCATCACAGCAAGTTACAATATCACCTTCCCTAACCCCCGCCCCCACTGACGGCAGGTTTCTGCTGCCGGTGCGCATTCGTTTTACTATCATGGAGCACTTGAAAGTAATGACGTTTAGATTACGCGATCAGGGGGAATACCATGACAAAAAACAAACAAAGATACCGATAATAATGCATGTAAGTAGTGCCAATTACGTCAGGATTAATCCGCCGATGACAGCCGATGATTGAGCCCGGTTGATCCACTACAATGTATCCCTTTTATATTTACTAAATTATAAATCACCACGATAATGCTGTATTAGTCTCTGCCTAATTCTGCACTAGCAGCTTCGACTTGCAGGCTTGCGTGCGGCCACTGAGCTGATAAACTGACTGGGTGGACACCGTTGACGACGGTCAAACTGTCATTGTCATATCCCCACCATCAACGCCTTGTACGCAAAGAAGTTGCTAGTCAGATTTTACCTGCAAAACCTACTAACGAGGGTAAGTCAAACAAAACCGCCCGCAGTCTAACCGTATGGAGTAGGCTTAGGGGCATTTGACGTTAAAAATGGCCTCATTCAAAAGCGGTAAAATATAATTATTGACCAACAATCGGATATACTAAGAATTTTTTCAAGAAAACCATCAAAAATTCTAACATTCACCTAGTTCAGAAACCAGACGCATTTCGTTCGCTTTAATGGTCACCTGCTTTTCACCAACGATAACGTCTGTCTCGTTTGTTAGCTTTGTTCCAGGAGCGATTTCGACCGGTAGAATAATTCCGGGGGCACGATGACCCAAAGCGAAATTTTTCAGAGCAGGCGGTCTTTTCTTAGCACTATTTGGTCGCGGTGTTTCCGACATCGTTTCTCAAGGGAGGGGCGCTGCTGTCATTAAACCAACCCTGAGTTTTCGCAGCGACTCAACTCCGAAGGTGATTAACGCGTTCAAGGCGAAGTTTGTTCCAAGTGACCTGCATGAATGATTTATTCCGAAAGACAAATACAATTTAAAAAGCTACGCTCTTTCACCTTAGTTGCTGCGAATATAAGAAATTTGTGCTCCATATTATAGAACTTCGCATTATTTCATTATCCCTGTTTTGAACCTGAACTGTCATGGTGCCAGCTGCAAATAGACATGCGTGCTATGCTCTAACCTGTGGGCTCTTGGCTCTACTTATGTGTTGTTTAAATTTATCAATAACCAAT